GTCACTGCTGGAAGATGGCAGGAGTGATTTTTATTTTTTTACTGATTAACGCTAAATTCATCCAATCACCGCGAACGTATTATATTTAGGTATAGATAATGATCCATTGATTATTCCCTGATGACCTTAATTTTCCTTTAAAGGACCAATAAAAGCAGATCAGTAGGAAAGGAAATGACAAGAATCATGACTGGACGTTTCCTTTAAATGTTTGATAATGAAACCTGAAGAATGCATGAAAATACTTTTACTCCACAAGTAATTTGAACTAAAATAAATTAAAATAAAATTTTAACTAAAAGGAGGAATTTTAAATGATCAGCATGAACTTATTAGCTTAATGTTTTGCTATTTGTGCCATATTGACATGTTTTTAGGCTCATTTAGGCCGTATTTTGGATGTGAACATTTCTGCTCATATTTCTGACATGCTGTGTTCTTAAAGGAGACGATCTCATCACCTCTTTTCTCATCTCTTCAGGCTTCAGAAAGTGTTGGATGCCCTCTTTGGCTTCCTCAATATCCTGATCATCCTGTGAGTCGGTAGCGTTCTCCTCCGGCTTCTCTGCAATACTGACACGCCAAAAATCCAGTTGATCATTAGAGAATAATAAAAACCGTCCTTCCAATGAAGGAAGCAGTATCCTGACATCGGACTCACATTTGGGCCAATTCCTGCCTCCTCCTCTCTATTTTAGCCCAAGCCTGCTCTGCTTTCTCTGCAGCCTGTCGGAGCTTCTGTTCCTGCCTCTCTGCCAGTTTGATCCTGGCTTTGGGAACCACAGCGGGCAGCAGCATGGTCTCCACTAGACGTCGGCGTTACAGGACATTAGTGTAGGTAGAAACCTGTCTCCGGTTGGTCCGATGAGACGTCTCCTACCTTCTGATTGGTGGCCTTCCGGCGAAGGCTGGTTTGCAGGTTTTCTCTTTTCTTCAGCAGCTTCTTCGCCTCCGTCGGGCTCGGTTCTGATTGGAGGTTCGTTTTCTGAGTGAAACTCTGATAAACTGTAGGTGGAGACCCTGTGGTCGCTGATTATCCCGACTACAGAGACAGTCTCTGTCGGCAGGGAGCCTTTAAACCTGAAAGGAGAGTCTTAAATATCAAATTTCTCATTTGTGATATCTAGCATGTAGAACTGTTTGATAAGACCAACGTATGTGTTTCCAGGGAATGTCAGAGAATGATTAGCAGCCTTCCAGCCTGGTTCTGATTGTGAGTATGCATGTGTACCATTCCTGCAGCTTTGTGATGCTGTAGCGCTCCTGTTCCCCGGCCATCTGCTTCTGAACCTCCATCACTTTCCTGGCCTTCTTCTCTTCCAGTTTGTAGAAGCAGGGGTCCAGGAGGAGTTCCTGAACAGACATAAACCTCACTAACTGATAAATATGACCTGATTAACCTCTTTTATATTTGCAGTGATGGACTCAGACCTGAACCTTCAAAGGCTCATAGAGACAGGAAAAAAGTGGGCCTACTATCACCGGAAGAACATCTGAGGGTTAAAGGACTAATGTTTAAAAAACTTCCTCCTGCTTCATTAATCTTAAGAATTGTTCCCTGCAGCGGCGTCTCCACAGGTCTGCCTAGAAAGTAGATCAGACAGCTGCAGCTGATCCAGACGCTGCTGCCTTCGTCCTCACTAGAACTAAGAAAGTAGAACACATCCGCCCAGTTCTTAAGTCCTTCCTCTGGCTCCCTGCATCTCACAAAATAGTCTTTAAAATCCTTCTGTTAGTCTAGAAATCACTAAATAGATCAGCTCCAAAAAGCATTACAGACTGGTTGGCATTGGATCAAAATCCGTGTATCATTCGTTCTTTCTATTTTCAATTGCCAATCAAAAAACAAAAAATAAAA